AGATCGGCTGCTGTAACACACACACACACACAGTCCAGTGTGCACACGCGGATAAACACGACATGCGTGTGTTTACGCTGCGTAGTGACTTCTTCGAACCCTCAAAATAGACAAAGACAGTTACACTTTTGAGCCCTTATTACCAATTCTGGGCATGCCTTGACTGGACTGGTGACAGGCTAAAGAAAATACTCCACCTGGATTTCTACCAGCCGGGAGAAGCAAAAAAAAAAAAAAAAACACACTTTCTGTGTTTTGGCTGCAAAATCTCTGCCAATTAAGAGCGAGTAGCTGTCAGATAGTCTTTCTCCTCCTCTCTATGTCACTGACACTCGCTGCCTTTGTCTGGCTGTATAAACCTGCTCCAACACGCGCACGCACACCTACAGATTCTTTTGTCCACCATTCCAATAGCTGCTGAAAGGTGTTGTATTGAACGGCTGAAGGAGAGAATTTCTTTGTCGTGTATGGAAGTCTGTCTCGAACCAAAACATCGGGAAGAAAAGCGAAGAGAGTGAGAAGATATCAGTTTCATTTTGAATTAAACATCTAATCCTAAACTGGTCTGGTGACAGTGCAGACTTATGTGTAACTCTGGTCCTGGGTGACTTAATGATGTTGTTGGCTCCCCCTATTGGCACCGCTGGATGCTGCTGTGTGAATAAATCTCCCTTCATCCACAGACGTGTTTCCACTTATTCTCCATTAGCGCGACGCGTAGTGCTCGGCTCGACGTTGGGTGGAGTTGTTACGGGAGGTCGTCAAACTCTGTGATCTAATGAGGTGCAAATTGTCCAAAATTGTGCATTAAAATGGAGACAGAGGTGAGGGAGACACACACACCGTCCTGATAGAAGGGCTGATTAGGGAAAGTAAGTGAAAACACCTGTGTGGGAGGACGAGGAGAACTATTTCGGGGACTTTCCCCTGGCAGATTATTATTATTATTATGGTGTCTGACCTGCAGTGGAGAGGTTGTTGTTTTTTTCTGACACATTAACGCCTGACTGTGACTGATTTGGGCCGTTTGCCTGGACTTTTTTCACTCAAAGGGTTTTTTTTATTTGCAATTTGCTGCTGTGACTCATCGCGGTAGCTGTAATCACGTCACTCATTAAACACGTGGCCTTTGCTGCGAGACGTAACGTAAATGTATAAGTAAAGTATACTCAAAAGAGTCGATATACAGACTAAAGAAACAGTGTGTGTGCTGTTGATTGGCACTATTCTCCCACAATGCAATGCACAAAGGAATGTGTCTGACTCAAGTTTCCTATTCTAACCTAATTCTACAGACTCGTCCTATTTTGACTCATCAGTGTCCCGATGCCCTTCGTGGTTTAACTCCTAAATCTCTTCTTCTCCGATTGCAGAGAAAAGAGGAAACGGAAGAGCGAGATTTTCATGGCAACACACTGTGTCACCGACAGCAGCTGGCCAAATATTAGCAGTGACCTCTCTGGGATTGATGAGTTTAAACAGCCTAGAGCTGAACATTTTGGAAGGGTTATTCCACCCGACACCTGGACAACCTGTTAGCGCAGCGTGCGCTCCAGCGACCTGAGAGGTGTGCGACGCCTAACGCTCGACAGCTTGAAACATCACAGGGATATCAGGGAGGTCATATTTGGCTCTTCGATAGCCCGACAAACGGTAACTACCCGGTTAATATTTAATTCGCCCTGAGAGCGACACAGCTGGACACACCAGACTCGCCGTGGTGCGTCCTGTCCGGAACAGCTCAACTGGTTAAATTAAAACACACAGACTGTAAATTAACCTAAAGAGCGACACGCGTAACAGGTGGAAAATATTCTCGGTGGCATCTAACCGTTGACATTCATAGCCAAGCTATACAGAGGCGACACAGCACTTTGAACTTTACTGCAGTCACGCGCCAAAAAGGTCTTAATGGCCTTTGAAGAGCGAGTTCTTTTCAATCGCTGCCTGGCTCATCATTCATCACCCCATCTGGTGTGTGTGTGTGTGTGTGTGTGTGAGAACACAGATGGAGGGACATCCCGTAGGAGTTTCAGTGTAATCATGGTTAAGAATTTGATAATCTTAAAGAGTATATTCTATAAGATATATTCCCACACACAGTAACATCAAGTTCTCACACACACACACGCACATAAACTGGGCTTTTAACAGTAATGCGCGAGACACATGAATACACGGTGAAGGATGGGTCATGACTCATGAGGATGCAAAACTTGGCTTGATTACATGGCAAAAAAAAACCAGAACAATAACAAACAAGCTTATAAAACGAGAGAGAGAGAGCTATTTCCAGACACAACAAAACAAACAAATATGATCTTCTCATGGCTCTTCTGTGTGTCCCGCCTCCCCATCATCCCATTCGTGCATCTGTGTGCCATTATGTCGCCAATTAACTGTGATTGTGTGCGCCGACCTTGTAATCGAGTCAGATTCCTTCTCCACGCGCCTGCATGTGTGCCGACTCGTTGCTGCTTTCCATTCTCCCGTATAGATGCTGCGCAGAAATTTGAAGCCGGTGAATGCGGTCGGCGTTGTGCAACAGTTGAAACCTTTTTGAAGGGAATAGCTTATGTGAAGTTGGCCTTTTATGGACCAAAAGCTTTATGATTATACTGTATATAGGGCTGCAGGGATAATGCATTTTACATACTGACCTTACTTCAGGCATCTGACCAAAGCGCATTTCTAAAAACCCACCGACTTCGAAAATAAGTGGAAAAAACACGCTGACTCATTTCCTGATTCTCGGACTCATTCCTGCAGAACTCTATTGTCCTTCTCATTTAAATCACAGACTTCTCTCCAGTTACTCACAGAGAACAAATGACATGAAACCGCCTGCAACAGTGAACGCACCGCTTTCGGCATCAGGCGCTGTGTATCATAAACTGAATCATACACGTGGTCTGCTTACGCTAATGTCATAACTCGCATGTAGCGCCGGCTGGTCCGCAATCTAGTTACATGCTTGATCTACGCGGGTCATTTCCCTACCGATGGCTTGTGCTGACTCAGGTCGTTCCGGGACGCTGCAAAATACAATTACTTAGTATGTTCGTCATGAGGCTGTATAGAAGAGCGTACATCTCCATCAGCATGTTTAGGGTACGATTCAGATATGAACAACAGATTAAAGCCAATCTGTTCAGTCTTGCCTTTGTGTCGTTTTTATTTGCCTGTTTTTGTATTTTTAATGTATTTAAAGGAAGTTCAATCAGGGCTCGTGCTTCAATAATTCCTCAATTTACATTTCCAATTTCTGCTCATACGACCATTATTATTAACAGCACGAACACCTCATTGATGTTATTAGCTAGATTTATGTAAATGTAGTAAAATGCATTCAAACACACACTTGGTCAGAATTCATAGACGTAATGAACTTCAGGGAAAAAGGACCAGAATTACAAGGAAAGTAGGACTTTATAAATATCTTCTGAGCCCATCAACAAAGGCCGATCTTTTTCACCAAGCACGTTTCCCGGCTGGCTCGTGCTGCCGTCAGCAGCTTGTGAAATTGGCCTTTCGCATGTTTGTATTTGTCATCATTAATCAAACCGTCTGCGGCTACATGGATCACTGCCGCAGACGTCCGGCCAAATGGGCAGCAACGTTATTATCGTGTGTCTCTGAGCAGGAGGGAGAACTGTTATAAAGCCTGTGACAGCAGTTACTTCACTTTCTCTCACACACAGCTGACACATGAGTTGGGATCAGATAAACCCTTTAAGCCCAGAACTCTGACAAAATGTTATTTTATTTGATTTAACCCTGTTCTAATCACTCCTCTGGAAGAAAAACCAGAAGAGATACTGAACTGTGAAATCCAGCAGTCTGCGATATGTAAACACACACACCTATTTGCTTTTAATCTTGTTTCCTGCTCTGCTCCTTTGACGCTGATCGACTTGAACAAGCAAAGCACACCCAGCGCTGACTTCATGAGGGAGAAATCCACTCCAAGACATGAATCATGCGCTTTTTTGAGGACTTTCAGTCAGTTACATTTGTTTTTTAGCAATACTCTGAGACAATCTCACCGTTCTTAAAAGGACTACTTCAACCATTGATAAGTTATTATTTCTACAGCTGCAGTTAAATGCAGTATTGGTGGTAAGGGCCGACATAAATCCCAGGGACCAGCTATTGGTTTAAAGTGACCAGTTAGATTGACTCTGACACTACGTGCTAAATTAAGAAAATCCAGATGTGTAGCATCATTCCACTGTGGTGTAATACAACAAACCATGCAACATTCAATTCAACTTTTAGACAATAAGCTGTCATCAAAAAGAAACAATGTCATAGATACATGACTTACACGTGTTAGCCTACATATTAAATAAGCATAAAAATCATATAATGCTTATAGTATGATACAAGCAGTACTGAAAGTTAAAAATCCTTGACTTACTTCCTGATCTAGCAGTTTTGTGTTTGCCATTCAACATTTAGCCTACAGGTCAATTCTAGTTAAGCTAATTTGCAGCAGACAAAAAACAATGTTTGTGTGGGAGAGAATGCAATGTTACTCATATTCAATTTACGTTATTTGACGTCCATGTCGCTTCTCTTTTCTTTCAGTGAATGAAGTATCTCTGTTGACAGTCATTTTGTTTGAAGACAGGACTCCTCGTCTTCTCGCTTCATAGCTGCTAGCTCAGCTAACTAGCTTAGTTTTACAAAAGCGCGGTAACATTCGCAGCTAGGAAAACTAGCTAGCTCTCTGTTAAATTCATTTAAATACTGCTAACATTTAGTTGTTTCTTCTGAGGCCAGGCCGTGAAAGGGTTCACACTTCTCTTCAGACTCTTCTCCTCAGACTTGTGTCCACTCACAGTTCGCTTCATCTTCTTTAATACTTTTAAAAGTTTAACCTCACTAGCTTCTCTCTTCGGTGTTTGATGAAGGTGCAGTACCGTGTTTCAACCACACAGATTGGCTAACATGTACCAACCGTTACAACTAAGAGGGGCGCTGTTTCACGCGTTTACGAAAAGTTAAATATTTTTTAATTGTCATTTTTTGTGTACCTAACTACTAAAACTACCAACACTTTTGGGCCATAAAAGTAAAGAAATGATTTTTTTAAATTTTCTTATTTCACCATTGGTTCTCTACTGTAATTGGACCCTCTTTGACCAGCGCTGCCCCTATTTTCTTTCACTGCATCGGTCAGGCAGCCACCAGCACACACTTGACCTTTCACCTTTGTGTAGTGCCTAATGGGCAAAAGGGTGGGCGCTGCTCAGGGCTCACACTGTATATTTAAATCTACAAAAATAGACCAATTTAAGGAGTACTTTGTTTAAAAGGAGAACACTTTACGGGACAGCCCCATTGTGTAAACATTTATATCTTAACATACCTCAAAACATGGGCTTGAAAAAATATTTAATGTCATTATCTCATTTATTTAATATTCACAGTATGTCAAAAAATAACAACCAAGCCCTTACAGCATAAATAAAAACTGCCAGTCTTGTGCTCAGTCCGTCTGTTTCATTAAGAACAAAGACAAAAATTTAAGCTGAAGATTCACATGGGTTCAGAAGAAATTCCGCCCTAAACCACAAGAGCCCTTCAGATCCTTCAGCTGATTGCTCAAGATGGATGTTCCCTTTTAACGGAGACACTAATTGATTCAGACGACTCAAAGTCCCAGAAACCACATCTGAAACCACCGTAACAATAATAATAATATTAATAATAATAATAATAATAATAATGAGAGCAGACTGATCCAACTGACCTATTCCACCTCCTCTGTTCTGCATCTCAACTGCCGGGAAAAAAAACTAATTACACCGCTGTTGTTACGGGACGGGAAGTGGAATGATGGGAAAAATAAGACAAATTTTCAGGACGCTTGCAGGACATAAATATCCTTCACGTAAAGTCACTGCAGTTTCCACGCATGGTGTGATTAAAGAGGGAAGGCAGACGTGGTAACAGTTAAAACATCACTGTGGCAAATCATCTGAGGAAGAGGTAACGGCGTCTGATCCTATGACTGATGAGGATGTTGGCTTTCTGGAACTGGAACGATACATTCACACTAATGACCAACAGCTTAGCACATACTGTCGGTTGTATCTTTAATAATGAGTAGTCAGCAAATCGGGTAGAAGCAGAGTTCACAGGAATCAGTGACAAAACCGCAGCGGTAGGAAACCAGGAAATGAAACTACACGTAACAGAATATGTGATCAGTCATATTAAACTGACTTTAAGTTCACAGTGTCTTTTGGTGCTGCGTTGTGTGCCCCATCGTGTTCTCTTCACAGTTCAGTGTGAGGGTGCTTGTCATGCGCGGGAAAGCTAGAGGAGGACTCCCTCCCTGCTTTATCTACTGCCACACCTTCTTCCACCTTGGCCTCAGGAGTCTGCTGCCGGCTGGAGCTGGGTTCCTGCATGTCCATGATTTTCAGGAAGTCGAAAAACTCGGCAGCGGGAGGCCAGCTGTCCCCACCCAACGTCCCTGCAGAGACAGACATGTAGAATTACATCGTGCCATTTGACACATTAAAGAGGATTACATGCCTTCAATGTGATGCAACAATAAAGTCGTTTTCCAGTTTATAATGTTCAACTGCAATAAACCATGTTGCAGCTGAAGTTAGATTCATGATCATGAAAAATGACTCAACATTTTCAAGATCATTTTCTATAACTTCCAGAATATTGAGTGCCAGAAAATAAGAGAAAGTCTCAATCCAGATGTCGGCCTTTAAAAACACTTGTTAGTTCAAATGCTTTTTCTTTTAAAAAACCTGGACGCTATACACTTCCAGTCAAAAGAAGAGTTTTGTAAGCTGCCTTGCAAGGAAACATAGCTCCCGGAAGTAAAGAGTGGAGGCTTGAAGCCACTCTGCGTCGCTAAAGACGGTTGCAGGTCTGGGGTTTCTCCGGAGAACGGATGGAATGCGCGGCAATTGGTTCAGATAGACCGGGGACGAGTCTCAGCGGCTTCTTGTCTCGGCCCTCACCAAACGACAGAGTTCAAAAGGTCAAGCGTCAACGGCTCCGGACCGTTGGCGTTTAAAGCCTTAGGTTAAATCGTAATTTAAAGACCCTTTTACTATCGATACACGTGCAGCTGCTCAACTCAAAGCCTCTTGTGCATTCCTTTCACATTTCTCAGACGGGAAAGCTACAAGCTGGATCCTGCCTTCAACCTCTGGGGAGCATTTGGCATTATACTGCATGGATCTGTTGTTCTACTGTGTACTTTTATTCTTTACCTGGATTTTTTTGACATCTTTGCTTAATATTCTAGCATAGCATGTAAAACTTCACTGTTTTTGGTTGTTGTTATTGTTTATGCGTCTGTTCTTGTGTTGTGGTTTTTCAGTACGTCTTGTCTTAATCGTGGGTTTTGTATTGTGACATTTTATGACGGTGGAAAATAAAGATATTGAAAGGGGATGACCTCTTTGCTTAAACACTGGTATGGTTGATAGGATAGAGTTCGGGCCGTTCTACTGCGTATGTGTGGGGGGGTTCAAGTTTGGTTAACCGGCTGGTTGTCCAGAAAACAGATCTCTATCGCAATTAAAATGAATAAATCCAAAAGGTTCATTTCTGTGTTTACGTGAGACAAGCGTTTGAAATAATTTCTGTAAAGTTAACGTTTATTTGGAACGCTTTGGTTTGGAACGATTTGTTTTAAAAAAGGGTAAAAGTATCCCATAATTTTCACTGTGCATTATGATACAAGCATGTTCTATTATTAAAGCACTTCCTCCTCCTTACCTGCAGCTGACTCGGCCCCGTCCTCGACCCTCTGCACCCACTGCAGGACAGAGGAGGCCATGATGGGCGTGTTGGGGGAGTACTGATAGATTTCACTTCCAGAGGGCAAATGGGTGAGGACCAGGGCAGGGAGGGGGGGCATGGAGCCCAGGTACGACCCCAGGACAGACATACCAGCTGGAGTGCGGCCGCTGGAACACAGACGATGAAAACAATTCAATACCATCTAGTGGGCTAATTTTTTAAATGAAATGACGGATCGATCACGTACAGGTGGATCCAGCAGACCAGGTATCGCTCCATCCGCTCCCCGCCCAGCTCCACCACTCCTAACATCTCCTCCAGCAGCACCTGGTTCTGCCTCCGCCCGATCTCGTCCTCCTCCTCTCCCACAAAGAGGAGGAGGAGGCCTTTGCCCAGGGAGAGGAAGGATGGCAGGTTTTCCACCGTCAGCTCAGGCTGGACATAAAAACAGGGATGGAGAGGAGGGAGGAGTTTAAACGTACACAATATTACAGTGATAGAAATAAGAGATTTGGATACAGATGGCTCAACACCACCCAAAATAATATACAAAGTATAACAATTATTTTATATTAAGTCAGCACAAAGCTCAGTATCTCACATCAGGGGTTTTTGCTGTTCACAGCAGCTGCTACACCGAGCTGTTAGGCATCAAACCTGCTTGTGAGTGTCAGCACAAAGGCATTAAGAGGCAGCAGTTATTTGACTGACTCCCCCCCCCCTTCATACAGTCCCTCAGCTGCTTTATTTGTAAAATAAATTGTGCTTTTAACTGGATAGACCTCTGAGACCTTGATAAAAATGTGGACAACAGCGCCACCCAAAGGGACCTTTGGTTATTGTATGGCCTTTAATACAAAGTGCCCGATAGTTCAATGAATTATGAAATCCATCAGCTCAAAAGAGCATAATAAAAACTCAAAGGGAGAGCTGAACGCGCTGTTTGCACATTATTGCCTTGTTTCTGAATGAGTTACCTCAGACGTGACGCATGAGGACACCGTGTCCACACTCTGTGGATCCACACATGGAGCCGGTTATCCGTGACATAGTGTGAACGCTTCCATCTCGGCTTTAACAAACTTCCAAAGAAGTTACGTCCATCATTTATTCACGCCGATTTCATTTCAGGAGATATAAATAACGATCTGGCTTTCTTTGGCTTTGTTTAAACTCTAAAATATATAACGTGACAGACAAACGTGCACAGCCTGTTTTACCAGTGGGTGCAGCAGTGCGGTGCTGATGCGGGAGAGCAGCTCCTCGGCGGAGGTGGAGGCAGTCAGTGCAGAGGGCCGAGTGCGTGCCCCCCAAGACGGAAACACCAACACTGCAGGAAGATCCACGTTGTGCTCCGCCGCCCTGCAGAGCACACGTGCAACATGAACACATATTCAAAGCTCATTTTGAAAACTATTTAATGATGCAAGAACAGCTGGTCATCACACACTGACTGACGTGACCTCTCCTCTTCATCTTCCGGTTACCGTGTGTGTTTTTCAAATTCAAGTGAAGTACGACTTCAAGCCGTCCGGGAAAACCTTGAGGCAGGAATGACGAGACTGGATATAGAGTTCATACCATTTCTCTGCCAGCCCATCCGTCAGCAGTCCGGTCAGCGCCTCTCCTCTCAATGACTTTGCTGCTTCAGTGAACGGCCGCACAGCTGGCAAGACAGGGCGACATCACCATTACATCATCATCATCATGATGCTACCGACAGGTCAGTGGCTTTAAAGGACGTCCTGGAAGATATTTCTGCAATATTTTTGTAATTCAATATCATTTCACAGCCCCCCCACCTGCGTCTGCTTGTGTCTTAAACAGTCCCAGTGCGTGATCGGGCTTGTAGCCTGCCAGCCCGGGGTGAGGCACTTCCTGGAGGAATGATGTCACTTCCTCTTGGGTGGACAGTCGCGCCGGAGAAGCTGGCTGGCTCCTGGTTGAAGAAGAAACATGTAAGATCGTGTGCACTGATGAAACATACACGTATGTACGCAGATACACACGCATATACAAAACGTGTATGTTATTGTTGAAGGACTTATACAGGTTAAAGGCTCAGATATATAGCTACAACATGGTCTGATTGGTCTCATTCTGCTCTAAGGAGACACTCCTGTCTAGACATGATGAAATCAAAGCATGCATAGATGTCTCTGGGTGATAATGGGACCAAAAAAATTATTATAGAAAACATGACTGGTCAGCTAGATAAGCAATGACTCCAAGATTCCCACAATCTGAAAATATATTTGTAAAAGCTCCCTGATATGGATTTTTATTGTCCTGCTGTGAACATGTGGCTTATATACGAGGGTGTTTCCTGTTATTTTCTTATGCTTTTTCCCTGTAAAACACGGCCATTGTTAACGGTTCTCAGGAACAGATTGATGTCCTTGGTGGAAAGATGTCCGAGACAAACATCCCGACAGGGACATTTAACTTTATTTTGTCTTCCCCTGACTCCCTTATCGCATATGGGGTTTTAGAGTCCTGCCTTCAGATGCAGTGCACTTGTTGTTGAATGAGCCTTATAGTGACTTATTTTATATCAATATGTAATAAGTACTTTACTTCAATAGTTGGGGGAGTCACAAGCGACAGATTAAAAAAAAAAAGTCAAAATCAAAGCAGCAGAGGCTGAGATATGTTGACTTTCCCAGGAATGGGTCAAAAACACTGAATCCTACATTTCCCATGGTGCAACTTGATAGTCACTCACTAGGCCACCCTAGACCACATCTTTAAAACTCCTAGTTTTTTACTTTTGTAACTTTCCGTTTGTAGTGTTCAGGGCCAAGCAGAAATAACCCTGATGACATCACTATGACATCATCAGGGTTATTTCATCTCCCTCTAGAGTCACAGATGATACTATTTAACGGTTTCCACAGGGTGAGAAGTGCTCTCTATACTCTGTACTCTACGCTCTTCATAATTTGGATTGGAAAGGCATTTAGGAGAATATACTCAGAATCATCTCAAAGACAAATTCATGACCAAAACTCACAGCACGATGAAGCGGTGCAGCGCCTCGGCACCCAGCATGCCTCCGTAGTGCTGGGCCGACTCCTCGGGGCGGAGCAGCAGGACGGTGGGGAAGACCGTGACCGGCCGGAACAGGATCGGGGGGGAGCCGCCCGACTCGGCGGCGCAGAGGTCGGTCCACTCCGCGCAGTCGACCACACACATCTGGACCTCGGAATCTTAAGGGATTTAGTAAATCAGGCAAGCGTCAAGATCACGACATTTCAAGACACATCAAATTGGATGAGCTCTCCCTTTATCTATCTAGTCATTACAATCATTTTGGAAATAATCTCAAGGCTCTCTCTTACATCTCCAGAAGCTGTAGCCTAGATACAACTAAACGATTCTCTGAGACTCTAATCATGTCGTCCCGTTTACCTTCAAGTCTCTCAGCAACGTCAATGAATGAGCTGAGAAAGGTCTTAGAAACAGCCTCCCCTGGTGGTGAAAGCAGAAACGACCGTTACTTCCACCCACGTGCATCTCGACCTAATATCCGACAGGACGGTAGGGAATAGAGCGCGGCTTACATGGGAGGTAGAAGAGCGCCACCGTCAGGCTGCTTTCAGCCACTGTGGCGTGGAAGTTGTCGGAGGTCAGCTGGGCGAGTGAGTCCGAGTCTGGCAAGTTGAGGCGGTTTTCGAAGACGGACTCGGCGATTTCATCGTCCAGCATGTCTTTGGTGGGGGGGGGGAGACACACACGAAAAAGCCATGAACACCCTCTCTCCCTCCTTCGCTAACTCCTCTCTCTTATCCTCTCTAGACACTTACGCAATTTGGAATCCAAATCCTCCTCTTCCTCCTCCTCCTCCTCCTCCTCCTCCTCCTCCTCGTCGTCCTCCTCCGACCCCTCGTCCTCCTCTTCCTCTTGATTTGTGAAGAGCTCCAGCAGCTCATCGGTGCTGTTTGAGTGCAAATACTTCACCTCTGAACCCTCGAAGCACACAAACACGAAAGGTCAATCACACATTGGTGACAATAATGAGTCATCTTTTTTTTTTTAATGTATGGATGTATTCATGTGGGCATCATACTTTCTCAGGCAGCCTGTAAGCAGCATTATATTCATCGACGGTTTTCACTATAGGACTCTGCCTGATAACACACACACACACAGAAGGTAGATTTAGACTGGTTTGCTGAGCATATAGTTCATTCTACCTGGTAAACGAAAGCTACAAAATAAAAAAAGAATGAAGAAGAACACTATTTTAATAGCAATAGGATCAGATTCATGTTCTTGTGTGTACCTGTGCACGAGCACCAGCAGGGCGAGGCCGCGGAGCCTCCAGGCCAGAGCGGTGGCCGTGTCCAGGTCCTCTTGCTTGGTGGCGGGACGGGAGAACAGGAAGACCTGGGGGGTGTCCTGGTAGGGGAACTGAGGGGGCTGGACCGAGGACGGGTCGTCGTAAACTTCAGACTGTGCAGTGGAGAGACACATGGGATTATGTGCGAATGGATACATGAAAAAAAAAAAACATCATTTCCTAAAACCCAAAATAATGTCATGAAACAGCTCATTTTCTCAGCTTATTCTAACAAGAAAGATTAAACGCTGATGAAAACATAGTTACTACGCGCTGGCCCTTTAAGAATACAACATACAGCGACTCTTCATTTCCATCCTGCTCACCACTAGCGGCGCCTCCATGAGCTGCAGGAAGGAGTGGAGGCTGAGCGTGAACAGCGGTTTACTCATACGGGTCGAGGGACAGTGCTCGGAGGTCATGGACCCGCCGTGAGCTCTGCAGTGGAGGAACCACACTTGAGACGAGCGAGACGTCTCATCGACGCTGCGGGACAGAGACGGAGAAGGAGAGACGCACACACGGTGAAGACTTTCTCAGGGGGGTGGAGACAAAGAAAAAGAAAAACAACCTACCTCAGGTGGTTCAAAACTGGGCCTCCAGTTATGAGGATGAACTGGTATTTGGATCCGTACACATACGCCGTCTCCATCATCGATCTGTGCTCTTAAGCAACACAATCACAGACAATACAATTCATTTAAGTAGTCATATAAGTCAAATCAATCAATTAGACTGAGCCATCTTTCACACTGCAATCCACGAGTCAATGAATCAGCCCTTAAACAAATCATCCAGCTCATCGCTATCGCTGACATTCGGCCTCCGTACATCCGTCCTTTCCTTTCCTTTCCTTACCTTGTGTTCCCAGGCTGCTGACGTAACCCAGCGCGATATCCTTCTTCCCTCTAGCGGCCTTCTCCATGGCCAGCAGGTCAGTTTCTGTGTGAACGTACTTGATCTCCTCGCGCAGAATGGCACTGGAAGAAAGAGACCAAATACAAGTACATCTTGTTTATGTTCATTTGTAGTATTAAACAATATCAACACTGTGAAAATACAAGCACTACTTACCACTATGTTAAAAATACTATTTGTAAATAGTGTATTGGATGTTTCAGAAGGACTGAAGGTTAAAGCGTCACACTGATGGAGTGTCGCTTACTCACAATAGGACCTCCGAGACGATGGAGTTGACGTCAAACACGGTGTCCAAATTAAAACCCAAGAACTCCTTGCCACCCCTGGAAGAAAGACATGGGGGAAGAAAACGTCAACACAAGGCACGTCTTCTGATGTCTCTCGTGAGAAAGTCAATCGAAATTAAATTGCTGTACTCCACACACCTGAAGAGAAATGCCGTGTTCAGCGCCTTCTCTTCCGCGCAGTATTTGTGAACCGGCTCTTTATTGCAGTTGACCTGAATGGGAAATAAAAGACAAAAAAAGCACTGAACTGCCACCTCTCCGTCCCGTACACCTGCTGGTATACGTCTCCACATTTTGAAGTGAATGAAAAGAAAACTTAATGTCAAACTTCTATGACGGCAGGACTACGGTTACCTTGCCAACCAGCACCCCATAATGCTGCAGAGCGTCAGCGGACTGCTCCAACTCCGCCAAGAACAGAGCGATGGTTGAGGAGACTGGGGACAGAGATTAGCGACTGCATTTAAAACGACCATACCAAATGTGGAAAGAGATTTGCGTGTGCCAGCGGCCCACCTTGCTGCTCGAAATAGATGAACATTGTCTTCCCAGAATGCAATTTGTCGTTGAAGTCCGCAGACGTGTATTCCATCGGGGCCGACGTGCTGGCCTTCTCTGTGCCGCCTCCTAACCTCCCCCACAGCAGGACGACAGCAATGCACGTCCACATGATGGAGGAAAGGCTCCGTTTCTGGGGGGTCACAAACTGGATCATAAACTTCCGGACGCAGCAGGTGAGGCTGGGAAAAATCACATCCAGCACCCGGACTGTCAGCACTGGTGATCAGAACAACCTGGAGCTGAACAAGCTCAAAACTGTGGAGATGACGGTTGACTTCAGGAGGAGCCCCCCCAACACTGCCCCCCTCCTCACTATTCTCAACAGCACTGTGTCTGCTGTGGAGACCTTCAGGTTCCTGGGATCCACAATCTCCCAGGACCTGAAGTGGGCCTCCAACATTGACACCATCAGGAAAAAGGCCCAGCAGAGGATGTACTTCCTGCGTGTTCATAGATATACTTTAGGATATATATTTATGTTGTACATAGTCGTTATGTTCTACTTTGTTGTTGTTTTTATTTTTTTTGTATATTTGTCATTTCTGTGTATGTACGTTGAGAGCAACGTAAACACCGCGTACAAGGCCAATAAAGCTGATTCTGATAAGCAGGGACAACAAGTACGTTAGCAGAATGTGAGCCTTACCAGAGAGTTGAGGAAGGGTTTAAGTTCCAACGTCTGTCTGCCCAAGTGGCTCAAACGTTACAAACCACGGTTAACGCCGCGGTTAACGGAGACGGCTTACATAATGACGCTAATTAAAAGTAACAAGTATCAAGAAAGTATCAAGAAAGCCCCAAACGGCGCTTTATATGCTTTAGTTAGGGACGATGATGCTGTTCATGCTAGCTAATTAGCTAGCTGTTAGCTTCCTACTGACGAGTGTTCGTCCATGGTTATTTTTATGGCTAGCTAACGTCAACACTCGTGAATAATATACACATATCCGCTTATGTCCGTGGGAGAGGTAGTGTTATGCCAGGGAAGTTTGTAAGGTTATTTCTCCTCAAGCTGCACAGTGAAATTTGAAAAAATGTATCTTGAGTGATCGATGCTTCACACTTCAGGAAACAGTGTCAAGCTACAAGGGTGAAACCAGCTTCCTGTTATCATTTCATAATAAAATCATTAATTGGCGAATTTGTTGCGATGCGTTTTTTGAGTTGTCCGGACAAACTTGTATGATAAACGTGACAATTATACTATAATAATACGTAGATGGTAATAATGTGGCTGTTTTACAGTTGTTTGTAATTCCCAAACATTGCAGTTTCGTGCATGCCAACGTTTAAGCTTTTATTTTGAAGGCAACCATGTTTTTTTCCGCAACTGTTGGTTATTGCTCAATGACTTGACGTAAATATTTGCGAATTGTTTTGATGGCCTCTTTCTCAGCGAGAGACGCCCACTTGCTTAGTTGAGCCAATAAGATCGGGGAACAAGTTTTGACTTGAGCAAACACCCAATCATAGGCATACAAAGGGCGGGCACTGCCGCAGCTGACATCATCATGAACCAATGGAGTGAGGATACTGTGGAGGTTGGGCGGCTGGATTAGCCAATGAAGCGGCGCACTGAGAAAGTAGGTGTGAGGACGTCGTTTCGCTTGAGAGATTTAGCCGTGGATTTAGCTCGGAAACTGGCAATAGTCTGTGGCTCCGGAGTCAGCTGTTTCAGGAGCAAATGAGTCTTACGTTGAGCCAAAATGGCGGCCTGTGAAACGCTAGTTTCCGTTTTCGTCGAGCGCAAGGGGGGCGGGTCTAAAACTGCATCACAGCTGATCCGGAGGTTCCCCCCCCTTAAATTGTTTTTTGCAGAGAACAGCTTTGCAGAGATTCACAGATGGACCTCTCTCTTGTTTTCTTTCCCCCGTTCTTGATATTTTTTAAACCTAGCGCATTTTTTTTAAAACTAGACCCCATATTTTCTTCAGCCTAGTATCGGATTTAAACCCCTGCGCAGCTTCATTATGACACTTCTTTTCAGAATAAACTGCTTTTATCGCACATTTTCACCCGAATGCCCTCGTCTTTTTGTCATCCGCGGTGAATTTAGCCCGGGTCTGACCCAGTTGTAGTGTTTTGTCGCCTTCACAGCATCCCATGTGTTAGTGCGAGCGGCCGGTGGAGATGTTTTCTGCAGGAGAGGAGGTCGAGTCCCACTTGTTTACCTCACTGAAGGAGTCCCCTGGAGCTGCAATCACCCCGACACTGGAGCTCAGTCTGACTGCCGTCTACACCGTCCTGTACTCCTTCCTGTTTGTCTTCGTTTACCTGCAGCTCTGGCTCATTTTGCACTACGGACACAAGCGCTTCAGCTACCAGAGTGTGTTTTTGTTTCTGTGCTTGCTGTGGGCCGCGCTGAGGACGACCCTCTTCTCCTTCTACTTTAAAAATGTGGTGCAGGCCAACCGGCTGCAGCCTCTGGCCTACTGGCTGCTCTACTGCTGCCCCGTCTGCCTGCAGTTCTTCACACTCTGCCTCCTCAATCTCTACTTCACACAGGTAAGACTGCACTGGGCGGGGGAGTAACCTAGTTTCATAAAACGGCTGACATCGCAGTTTTGTCAACAACAATTTTCCAAATGCATTTGAATTTGAATTTTAGCATAGATTAAAAGACCAGATGTTCCAAAACTACAGCTCCCATGATGCTTTGACAGTTTGTTTTATGGACCCAATAATGAATTGGTTAATTGAGAGCATATTAGCAGAGCAGACCGTTAACACACAACCTTAAAGGAATAGCTCGACATTGTGTCAATGCTGGGTCTCGTGGTCACTGTGAGGTTTCCAGGCAACCAGCAGGGACTCCAGGAAGTTGCACCCAGCAAAGAGAAATAGTCCCCCGCCCCCCCCCCCCCCCCTGCAGGAAAGAATTAAGATCCAACATAAGAGTATGAGAACTTACGATGTGCTGGTAAGTTGATTTTGGTACATTTAGACACAGCCAGGCGAGCTCCCCACCCTACCGGTTTCCAGTCTTTATGCTAAGCTAAGCTAGCCATCTCCTTGCTTTACCGTCACGCTTAATGGACAGACGTGGTGAGAGGTATCAATCTACTCGTCTAGCTCTCAGTAAGACGGCAATCAAGCCGAAAGGCAGTTTTGTGGTCGACCAATGTATAACTGTCAAGAAATGTCCGTTTCACTAGCAAAGTGACTTTAAACTCGAGTTTTAGCTTGCAGAGCTGCCACCGCGAAATGGTGGAATGTGGTTACTGTGGTCGCTATTTGGCCCACATGCTCCATAGAGTTGGTTGACTGACTTGAAGCAGGTTTGAAGGCTCTGCAAATTGGCTAAGTTTATGTCCCGGGGGTCAGGGACGTTGAGGCCGAGTGGTTAAAAAAAAAAGCCTGCATCGCATCGATGTGTTTCATTCAATAAGTGGACAAGACTGGAGCGAATGTTCCTGTCACAACCTGTGTGGTATGGAGGATAGAAAGAGAGGGACAGTTGTTTAACACCTGCCCCACTCCAAATGTCAAAGACCGTTTCTCTGGCAGCAAACACCTACGCACTTTGGGACTTTGAATTGGTTGAAGATCAAACACGGCCCTCGGAGGTAAACACAGGATGCATCTCAGTCACATAAAACGTGGGTGTGAGTGGAAAGGAAGCTCGTTTAACTGTCTAAGTGGAGATTAGGTAATGAAGACCGCTGAAAAAACATCGCGGCCCGACCTGCGACCAGTCAACACGTACAAACTGCTGAGTAAACAACTCCCCTTTGTCCGGTTGTTGTGCTACTTTGCATAGCACAATTGGCGCACTGCCCTTTTTTCTTTCCACCATTACCAACAAAATGGTGTTCTCCGATGTCATCGTCAGTATGTATGCATCTCAATCTGTTGTTTTTTACAGTCTCGGTCATATTAAAGTTATAAATCAAACACTAAACCATTCAAAGAATCATTAAAGCAGCTATAATCAATGATTTCTCAATCAGTGATCTCTCTTTGATGCTCAAATGAGCCAGGAGTTTTCCTGGGGAGTTGGTGGAGTCCAAAACGGAGCTAAAAGAAGAGCGAATATTGGACTTGCACAAACACAAGGCTTGATTTTTTCCCAGTGTATGTAATCATGTGACAACGACAGGCTGACAAACTACCATTGGCGCTCCTGTACCTGGACAAATCCAATACAGATCCATCCAAAGTGCTGAATGGGATTGAATCAAAAACACATTTTCTTCAACAAAAAAAGAAATTGCCTTTTTGATTGAACTGCCCACGTCTCACAGACGTATAAAACCTGTGATGGACCATTTGTTAAAGGGGATACGAGTCCAGGATGTTGGGAACCACTGTCTTAAACTATAATTTATCTATGAGACAGACTGTGTATTAATTCCTTTAGGGTGAAAGAAAGTGCCCTCGCTGACTTTGGGGTGCATTTAATGATTGCATTTATCGTCGATTGAACATGCTTTTTTTTCTCCAAACCACCAAAGGTATTTACCACCATATTTGACAAAGCGATGCATCAAATCTCCACCTTTTGCAAGGAATATTTGGCACCAGTTTGTTCAAACAATATCACAACACCGTTTGTGCGTTACTGCCGAACAGCGCTGCTCAATGTCGGACTCTCCGAGAGTCTTAAACCGCTGACACAACATCATGCCACCGTCTGTTTTCTGATGAGTCAGGCATGACTCCTGACCTGCTATTTGCTTCCCCTTTATCCCACTGCAGAAAATAATAAGGGTAATGTTGAGCTGCAAACTATCAAATGTCATTCTCTGTAGATTTAGCTATATTTTCCCCCGTGATGTTTGGGTACACATGAAGTAATCTGGTCGTGTTTTGTTGGCTGGCTGCTTCATTTGTGGGTTACCAATTACCTCCTGGCCTACATTCCCACACAAAAAGCTGAGTGTTTAACGTGTGTTTACAATAAACTCAATGTTGAGCAATGTTCGAGACCTCTGTGGCCATCTAATCATATCGCATCAAACATGACTTTGGTCAAAGACAGTTAATAACTGAATCTACATTTGTGGTAAACAGTTTTCAAAACCAGCTTTTGTACACTCAAACTGGACTTGTTGAGTGTTTTTACTGATAACATGTTGGCAGCGGGTAGATAATAGATATGTAGTTTTTGTTTGGCTTGTCTTTATTTGATCAATTTCATACCGTGTCATAGAAACCAGATTTAATATTTTTTATTTTATTTGTTAGATGAAGTACCTTCATTTGTCTGGTATTAAATCCACTGGATTACCCAAAAACAGACACTTTCATGTGATTAGTTTGCCAAAAAATAATTTCTGTTTAATGTCATGATTAGTGTGATTGCCCAACAGCAGTTTTTCATACCGTCTTCCTATTATTAGCCTTTCTTACCATTTTCTGCTTGTCTGTAATACTTGCATCATTTTATGCAGTGTGTTTCTGTATATTTAATGGGTTACCCTGGGGGGGGGGGATCAACCCAGTTTTTGTACATATTTTCCCTATATATTAAAAAAATAAAATCATACACACACAGAGAAGTGTTTGAAAGCCTCCATGCATTCCATTATAAAGTAATCTAAAAAGTGCCAATCAGCATTAATGTACTCAGCAATCCCATGCCTTTTCTACAGGAAAGTCCACACAGAAAAGTGTGCTAATAAGTGCTAATAAACTGAAACCCTGGACAACATAAAGGCCTACCTGCATACCGTGTCAAAGTCGGTCAACTCAGATGACTGGTGTCGTCCCTTTTTTTCCTCCTGACTGCTGCAAGTTGACGACCGTGTCTTTTGTTCGATCTCTCTGTTTACTTATTAATATGAAGTCACGTCCTGTAATCCCTGCTGTCGGCTCAGCGGTCCGCTCTAGGCTCGGAGGCCAATAGGAGAAATTGGGAAGACCCTTATTTTATTCCTCTCAACTATAAAATCATCGTCTCGGGCAAAAGCTGTTTTGCATACAGCCGTCAATAAAAAATAAAAACTCTCTTGCTCTCTATTTTCTTCTATCTTATCTTAAATGTGACATTTAAAAATGCAATATGTCTTATCACTGTGTCATGATATATATTGTTTTACTTTTCTTTGTGTAGGTGATGTTCAAGGCTAAAGCCAAGTATTCCCCAGAGCTCACCAAATACAAGTGAGTCTGTCCTTCAACTTCATTGTTTTTGATGTTTGCAGCTTCCTCCTTCCTCCTCTCAACAACCAGACTCTCTCTTTCTTTTCCTTACTTCTCTCACACACTCGGCTGCTTTGCAGATTCAACACGATGCATTTTAATGAGTTGTTGTGTAAGAATAAAGTCCCATTGTTTTGGCCGTCCTCTTTACTGTCTCGTCTCTCCCTCCCTCCCCAAGGGTTCCTCTGTGTTTGTTCTTCCTGTGTCTCGGTGTGTTTTTCCTGGTGGTGAATCTGACGTGTGCGTTGTTGGTGCAGGGAGCTCTGGAGCGCTCCGAATCTCCGAGGTAAACAATACAAACGCAAAGAACAGAATGTTGTCTCCTCGCGCAGTAATGTCCCATTAATGGCCCACGGAACAGTTTCACTCAAAGAGTTCGTGACCTTTGTGTCTCCAGTGACGGGGACGTCCGACACACGGTCCTGGCCCGGGTCTTGATCAACGACAGCCTGTTTGTGCTGTGCGCTGTCTTTCTGGCCGTCTGCGTCTTCAAGATCGCCAAGATGTCCTCTGCCAACGTTTACCTCGAGTCCAAGGTAGGATGATAAAAGGTAGTAATTACAATGTATTTTGCTCAGGCAAAGGTCTTGTACTACTGCTTTGTGTTGAGGCTGATTAACGCCAATATTAATTAGTTGCAGAAAAAGATGTCGGTATATGTCAAAAGTATTTGGTATCGTAAATTGTTTTGGTAGTCACTCCCCAGAAGTTCGTAAGTTATATCGCCAACTGATGACCTTTGACCTGTCAGAAAAAACTATTCTTTGTTGGTAAGCTGTAAATTTCAATGGATTCCCGACTATGACTGTCATTTGAGTAACTTCCTCAAAACTCAATTCCTGGCCTATATAGTCTGCCATGGAGAGGGCCCATATCTGACATTCAATCACAGGCCGATAGCCAACTGATGAATGACTTGTAATAAGCATGGTTTACTCCTCCAACCAGGGTACATCGGTGTGCCAAGCTACAGCCATAGGATCCATGGTGATCCTGCTCTACACATCCAGAGCCTGTTACAACCTGGTGGCAGTGGCCCTGTCCCCACAGGACAGACCCAGTCCCTTCAACTACGGCTGGTACAGCTTCTCTGATCAGGTACTGCACAGAGTGTGTTGGGTTGTAGAAGGAAAACAAGCTTTTATTCAGCCAGAAACCCAGTGCCTTTGTTTGTTTGTGTGTGTGTGAGCGAGTGGACAATCCATCTTAGGAGCTTTGGGAAAGCAATGCCTTGTGGGGTAAAGGGCTGTTTGGCTATAAATAACCATGTGTGTGTGTGTTTTTGTGTCCTGACCTACATCATGGATCAGGACTTGAGACGGACAGGCCATTTTAAAGGGTTCCATTGTATGTATGGGTATAATCTGATATTATAAATATTTTTTTTATAATCCGTCTGTTTACCAGCTGTTGGTCCGACGTCTCAACTTAATTATGTCCCTTCTGGCCGCCATGTTTCTACAGTAGCCCAGAATGGACAAACCTAACAAGGACTCTAGATAGAGCCACCGTAGTTCTCTTGCTCGCTTGGCACGTGGGAGAAGTTTCAGTTGGTTGCAATCTGCAACCTCACCACTAGATGGTGGCAAATCTTATACACTAGCCCTTTAATGCTGCCATACTCGAGACACAAGCGATGTCGACAGTGTAAGATATGATATGTGCACTCAAAAGATGGAAAAAGCACAAATGCCAGAGCATGATATCTAATATGTTCTCTTTGTTCAGTTGTTTAGTGTGTTCAAGATTCAGGTGATGAATCTAAAATGTTTGTGTGTGTGTGTTGCAGGCCGATGTGCAGGAGATCAGCGGCGAAGCCTACGTCGCGTTTGGGATCATTCTGTTCTTCTGGGAGCTGCTACCTACAAGTTTAGTGGTGGTTTTCTTCCGAGTCCAAAGACCCAACCAAAACCTGGTAACATAGCATGTTGAAAGTACATATGCTAGCGATGATCTGTGGGACAGAACCGTAAATCTGCAGTACTGTAAAGAGTAATGGACCTTGAACATCTCTTTGACTCTCAGGCTCCAGGAGGGATGATCAACAGCCACAGTTTCAGCTCCAGAGCGTATTTCTTTGACAACCCTCGGCGGTACGACAGTGATGACGACCTGTCCAGAAGCATTAATAGTAGGACGGATCGGGCCAGGTGGGCACACACCCAAGAAAACCAATACCCTGACTGATGAAATTACTTTTGATTGATTTCTCTTCTGCTTATCCTCTCAATCCGTCCCTCAGCCTCCTCTCCACCACTCCCCAGTTGGGTACGTCCAGTTGGTACGGCTCCATCCAACGCAACGGGACTCTGGCGGCGGGCGCTGCTCCCACCCAGCAACCGCCGCCTTCCACGGCCCCGCTGCTCTTTGCCTACGGAAACATCCAAAGTCACCACCACCAACACCACAACTACTACTCCACCCCCCAGAACAACAATAACCAAAATCATCATCATCATCATCACAGTAACTACTATTCCACGCCACAGAATTATTATGGCGGGTCGCAAACGTATTTCTGCACCCCACAGAATTGAGCAGGGTCCATCCGTAAAGATTGAAAAAAAACCTGACTAATAACTAACAACGTCCTGCCTTTTTTCGTCGCCAATTTGCTTCCCCAGATACATCAAAGCAGGTACTTTTTAGGGATATTCTGAGACATTGCTCCAAACCAGGTTGGTTCGCCAAATTATTCCAGAGAACTGTGCTTGCATCAGTAACTACAGACACCGCTGTCTTTAAATGGCATGTATGGACCAGAACGAAAGCAAGCGCAGGCCATGGACCAGAGTTTTAGCACTAATGTGGCTAATACACCTAAAACCGCAAAGACCAAACTATTTATGTTGAAACATTCTGGTCTGTTATCATTTCTAAGACTGGAATCATCAGGGATCAGATAATTATCCTATTCTTGTAAAAGTCATCCAATTGTGCTTCTATGGATTGTACCATTCTGCTCAGATGGGGGCCATGTAGCGGGCTAGCCAACGTGGCTAATGCTGAAGCTGCCATGGTTTGTCAGTCAACAGGTCTGGACACAAAGACGTTCTATTCGCTCGGCATTTGTCCAACTGTTATATTGGTTGTCAAAAAAGGGTTGTGTGACTGTTTTTAATGGCCACGCATTCATACAATGGTGGTTATTTTGGCGGGAAAAGAACGGCGAAGGAAGCTGGCGCTTTATCTCTGATTTGCCTTTAGCTGTTGTAGCAGTGAGAGCTAGCTTATCAGTTAGCTTAAACTCATAATCTGTGTCAACCAACAAAATTCTCAGAGACCTAGCAAAACTAAAAATATAAAAAGCTAACCGAACTTCCATCCTTCAGAACTTTATTATTGCTTTCAATGATTTCTATTTGGAGCCATAGGAAAGCTGTACAAACGACGTTAGCAAGCTTGAGACTTTAGCCTGCCTACTCGGTACAGGATTCGCGTTTTGTTTGATACGTAAAATAAGTTTATCGCGGTTTTAATAACTGTCATCAAAATACGGGGCAGTTTATTTCAGCGTTCACAAGTATCATCCATGTAGACTGCTTACAGCCGCAGAATATACGTGAAACTTCGATGTAGCCGCCATATGCGTGTACTTTGTCAATCTCAATAGCACAAGGTCAATGTGTAAGTGTGTGAAAAATGTAACTTCTAATAATGCATTTTTATATGGGGGAAGAGTGTCAACAGATGACTTTAGCGACTGACTCAGGCTTTAACAAAATCTGCTCATGCCACTGCTGTCGGATTATATTGAACTGCAGCCAAATCCAGGTTTACTTCCCCATAATTATACAATGGAAACTATGTGAAGACAGGGAGTGCCATACAAGTCAAGTTGCTGAATGTTTGGGATTAAAAACATATCATTGATTTTTACTGGGTTACTCGGTATCATTTGGACACCAGATCAAAGTAGTAAAATATAGCCTTCATTCCACATTGAAGTAGAAATCAACCCTGGGATTGTTCATTAACAGGGTGGAAATGTTGCTGAAAACAGACGCTTGACCAAAAACCTGTCACGTGATTTGATCCTTTGTGGGTTGTGAGGCAAAACTTTGCACTTAGAAGACGTTCACCTTCAGAGAAAAAGGCTTCGGCCTGAATGTAGGATTTTCGTCTCCTACTTGTTTTCTGAATCTTCTTCAATCATCGTCTGTGTTCAATATTTTACTATTTATCCTCTGAGAAAGGAAATATTGATGTGCCATCACATTTTGTCATATCTTAGTTTCATTCCTTAAAGAAAATATTTTTGCACAAGAAACGGCTGGTGTTTTTTTAAGTGTTTGTGCGTCAACTTAATCGATTCCTAATCCAGGTGTGTTTGAGTCTGTATGTGTGTGTGGGACCTTGAATTCTAGGTTTTCGAGTTTGCTTTTATACATTTTTATTTTACAGATTTTATTCAGTTTTTTTTTTTTCTCCTATTGTTCTTTATTTTCTGAATCTCACGACAGACTGCAGCCTGTAAGCATATTTCACTTGACCCAAATCAGTGTACCCATCTGTGCTGAGCTGGCTAAATGAAAAATTGCTACCCAACACCGCGCGGTACGTAAACCAACTTCAGCTGTCATGTAACTCAATCTGTAAATGACCATGTAAACTCTAACTTCACACAAGAAAACAAATAAAACAAAAAAAAGCATTACACGTATCAACAAGTGTCACCGGACGCTGAAATACAACCATGGAACTGAAGCTTTGTTTCCAAGTTGATATCATTTCTATAACAACGTTGCTTTATCAGCTATACAATGGCAAATGTTTTATGAATTGTTTTATGTTATGGATTGGTTTATCCTTGGTCATACTGAATGTAACCTATTGTGCGACAGATCACGAACTATGTATGCAAGAAAAGCACTACCATGTTTAAATAAAGGCCTACTGCACTGTTTTTAAGACGAAGGTGAACTGGAATTTGTCAGTGTTCTCTCCTAATCTTGAATATGAATGTTACGTGAAACATTACACAAGAGGGAGTTTACTTCCCTTTCTGTCCCCCCCCGTTTTACACCACATACAACCCACAGGTGTGATGGGTATCAAACCATTGCACAGAAACCACATTGCACAGAAATGATCTCGTGCAGCTGGTCATGTGGCTGAGTTAAAAAGTTTAAGTCGAGACTGCAGCTCACTGCAAAAGGTAGGCGACTTGTACAGCAGAGAGAGTCCACCGCTGCTTATGTTCCACGTATGCGTTCACATGGATTTATTTTTCAAAAGAACATGTACAAGCAACAAGTCTGAATTTCATACAGCCTGAAATCAAATTTGAATGACAGTTATACTGACAAATAACCTTAATTGTGTAGGATATTGCAATTGAAAACGGATTTTTTTTATTTTTTTTTATAGCAAAGATCATGTGTTGTCCGTGTTTGATGCAATTAAACGATGATTTTGACAGTGTGCAAGTTATTTCAGTCCAGAATCGTGATTTAAAGGAGAGCAAGATTCTGGTTAAGACCGCATTAGGATTTATACTTATTTGTAATACTTTGTATTAGCTATTTTATAGGTGGGGGCGGGACCAAAAGCTGCCTCCATAAACTTCACTTTACCAATTTATGTGCTGACTGTTGTTTAACCCCGCCCATATTCAAGTCAAATCCAATCAAATCCAATGGGTGGGATTAAACATTGATTTGGAAGGCTGCAGACAGGGGGACCCACTCTCCAGATTAGAGAAGAGCAAAATTAAATTGCAATAGCCTGGTATTAAACCAGTCGAGGGTCGTCACTTTGCATATTTATAACAATATGTAGAACTCAAATACTTTGCACTAAAATCAAGTGAAGATTTGGACCAGAATCCATCACCAACAACTTAACACCCATGTTAGTTTACAGCTGAAATAGTTTAGTTATTCTTTAAAGGAAAAGCATCCAATATCTGTTCTAAACATTAAGTTGAAAAACACACAAATGTAAATGTTTCCAGTGTTTCTGTAAGCCGCATCTTTAAAAAGCTGGTTCATCGCAAAACTGATTTGATTCTTGAGAAGAGATTCAGCTTTGTTATTTCTTTTATTTCATTTCTTTTTACAATTTGCTGGTGTGTTCGTGTCTCACTAAAGGACACTTGGGGGTGGATGCTTGTTGTCACGAGGCTTACGGTCAGCTCTCTCTGGGCGAGTTAGCCAAAGGTCAGCACCACCCTGCTGCTCCTTTGATCAAATAGAATGTGATACATCATAAGAAAAAAGACAAACATCCAAAACATTTAAGGCATCTCGGCCGTTGGTCCTCGAGAGTCAACACACACACGTGAATCATGAACACACCTGCAGACATGAACATATACGTACTAAATTAATGTATTCCAACAATTAAAAGAAAGTGATCTTTAGGAGCTTGTGGAAACATTCTAGACTGAGAATCATTTTAGCCAATGAGGTTTCAATTAAACAGACATCTTAGGTGTTTTGTAACATCTTAAAGTCTTGTTTTTAATGAAAATCAGAGCAGCCGGGAGGAAAAGCATGATGCAAAATCACTTATATTATAGAAAGTCACAACTTCAGAACCATTTCCTGCATTGACTTCCTACTACTTCTCTGCAGCCATTCAAGTCTCAAGACGCTGTTAAATAAGGTTTTCCCTGCTGCGGGTGGTCCCCTCAGACAACGTCTCACTCGTCATGTTAGTGTAGAGAGATGAGGAAGCCGTGGGTCCCGAATGTGTTGATGAAACCCCCCCCCCAAAAAAGAGAGTCACCTGCACTTTTTTTTTTTTTTTTAACAGTTCAAAGTTCGTCGTCGTCGCTGCTGCTGGTGCTGCTGTCCCAAGACGCCGGGCTCTCCGATCTCCGAGGGAGGAGCTTGTGCTCGTGTCAGGATTCCTCTCCGGCTTCCTGGTTGATCACTTGGTGGTACCCCTGGCTGCCGATCGGCTCCTTCTGCCAACAGATCACACCGAGGAGGACGAAGATAAGGATGAGGAGCAGGCAGCCGGACACCGCCAGACTGATGATGACTTCTGCAGAAGAATGAAGAAAAATGGATGATGGCACAATCTCTTTTTAATTTGCAGTCAGTTTTTTTGTGTGTTTTCACCTTTATCTCTCCCCTGCGACGGCAGTTGACACTCCTTGTCGCGGTCATCTGAAATAGAGAGCTTTGTAATTCTCACAAAGTCCTCTAGGGGACAGTCTAGGGAGCAGCCTGGTAGCTGCAGAGGGAGCGCCTCCACCGTGCTGTCGTTCCGGTAAAACAACGACACCGAGGCAGAGCTGGGTGGACACAGAGAGAGAGAGAGAGAGAGAGATTTACAGTCTCCGATTACCTGATGTCACATTTAAAAATGCATTTTTGACTCTGCTGAATCTGGTTGTGTTGAATTTCAAAGTAAAAGTCTCATCCATTTATTCCACTTTGCATATTCTTTCTTTCTGGTATCAGCTCCTCAGTTGCGCATGGAGTCTGTTCATTAATTATTATTGATCAATCGAGTGTCTACAGTATATTCTGTGTTTGCGTTTTACCCGTTGTCATCCCTGTACAGCTCAATTATTTGACAGGAGGCGTACGGCGGCTGTCGTCCGTTGAACACATTCAAGCTGGACTGCAGAGCGGCTACAGTGGTGTCATGCTGTGGATCACATGAAAACATTTAGGGAAATGTGCTTACTTGCGCTACACATGAAGCTACAGCCAGAAGACGCCTAGCTTAGCTTAGTTTAGCATAAAGAATGGAAACAGCTAGCCTGGCTCTGTCCAAATGTGAAAAAAAACAATCCATCTACCAGTAATTGAAAAAGTCATTCTTACCGCTGACAGCATCATCATTTTCATCCTCTGTTTCGGGTCTGGGACGGCCATCTTGGAAAGATTCTTCACTATTTCCCCCAATAGGATACCTTGAAGACAAACAGAAGCTCTTATTTCGCCATTTAGTCCTGTATTTAAATCATAAGTCTCATGGTATGCCATCAATGAATGGACACACACACACAATGTTCATTTCGACTCAATCCCACATACACTGTCCCTGCTGCTGGAAATACTCACTAGAGCACCAAATGTAGATTCATCTGCTGCTGAAAGTAGTCCAACAAAAAACACTATTTCTTCCTGTTTTAGTAACGTCTGAACTTCACACACATACCTCCCTGCAGCCGGCTCTTTTCTTGCCGTTTGTAGAACCCGAATGTGACCTGTGTGGAAAACAAACAGTGTCTTTACATTACTTTTAACTACACTGTAGCATTGACGCCATCACGAGACGCTAGAAGTCCTAAACGTACAGAAATGCCGCTGCCACTTTTACCTGAAATCCAAAGTCTTTGAGCACTCGGAGCTTCTCCATGACATCAGGAGTCACCCAGTCAGGAGCAGTCATGTTGTGACGGGACTGAATTCAGGCACAGAAAACACAGCGGGGATTAAGAAAGCCACGACAAAGACACTGGATTGAAAGAGGAATTTCAAGAGACGCGTAAAAGCTGGAATCAAGCAGTAGCTGAGTTGAAAAACTGTCTTTTTTCTCCTTGTCAGCAGTGAGTCCTCTGCCTCTAAGTTACCCACTGGTTCATACTTAAAATTGTGTGTTTTTGACTCATGACATCCCTGAAAATGTAGGTACAGATGCCTTTAAATATGACAGCAATGCAGTTTATTGATTGGAGGCATGCTGAAAAGCAAGCAGTGACCTTTGTTAACTAGATAAGACAAAAACACAGATATGAAATAGAAACCAGCTGCACAGTTCTGTTCCTCTAAGCCCTCGTCGTGTTCCTTAAAAAAACGACGAGGGCGGTCGAGTCACAAGACCGAAACTCAACACCATGACATTTGGTCAATTACAGTTTCTCCCACAAGAACTTTACAAATAACTTGCGTCTGTTGGAAGAACAGCTTGTGAACCGGGTCTTGAATAAAGGGATGCTCTTATTTTGAAATGAAAGCGTAGTAAGCCAATTAGCCAGTGTTCATTCAGAATAATTGTCTTAATTTCCTATAGTTTTGCTGGTGTTCTCACCTCACAGAAGAGTGTGTCGTACACGCCCCACACCTTTTCCACGTTGGTGTCATTCAGTCCGGTTTCATTCTTCACCAGCTTTATGATGTCCTGCAGAGAGGAACGCAGTAAAAATAGCATTAAGCAAAAACATGTCGATTTGAGACTCCCCCTCGACATCACGTAACCCCCAAAAAATCCCCCGTACCTGGTACGTGGTGGTGATGTTAATAAATTCCTCCGTGTGCTCAGTTTCGTTCATCAGCTGTTTGTAGCGAGGACAGTTTCCCAGAGGATAAGACAGAAGCTAAAGAAATAAATAAAAAAAAGGGACAAAGACAGAAAGTTCAGTGTACAATCATTTACAGCAAAGGGGAACTATTTACATCACACAAACATACCCTCTCTTCTCTTTCTGGCACTGTGTGCACCGGTATCGGCTGCCACTTCAAGTCCTGCGTGAAGACCTGCTGACCAGCGGGGGGGTAGAGACCTGGAACGACGGACGAGAGACTGTTAATGCGGGGGAGGGAGAGTACGAGGATCGCTAGGTAGAAAGGAGGGAGGAGGTAGGAGAGCGTGAGCGGACGTTCAGACCTGCGAGGTTGGCCTCGGCGCTCATCAGGGTGCGGTCGTAGTCCGTGCTGCGGACGGAGATCTGTGGACAGAAGGAGTCGCCGGTAAAGGGATCAGAAGAGGACAATGAACAGAGGCCTCCTCTCGGTAAACAACGCCATCATGCTGCAGGAATGCCAGCACCAGTGGGGACACCTGTATAACACCAGCATGTCAAAGCCCCTCCCCCTTCTCCTCCAAAATATTCCTATGAATCAGCGTCTGTCTGTGAGGTTACCTCGCGTCGATCATAGGATTCGTTCAGGAATACTCGGTACCGCTTCCTCAGAAAGTGGCCCAGATCAAAGTGCTGCCTCATGCCCTCCTGAAAAAAAACACATCGATGACGTCACAGGGTGTCGGTAACAAATGTGAGTTTTAAGTGAGACAGTAAAAAAAAAAAAGCTTATCAAATATGGAAATGTATCCAATAGGTCAGCATCAAAAAAAAAAAAAAAAGGAAGTTGAAGACAACACAGGTGCTGACGCTCTGCGATGACTCCAGTTACAAACTGTCCGCTCTACCTGCGACAGCTGTCCGAAGCCCTGCGGCCAGTCGCTCTCCTGGTGAGGGTCGGTGGGGTAGGCTTTGACTGGTGACCGGTCGCCGTGACGAAACAGCTGGAAGGGGAGACAGAGAGGAGAAGTCAGGCAACACCCAACTGACAAACAACAACAACTAAAAACACTTCCGTAATAGCATGAAAAAATATTTGAATGGCTAACAATCGGAATGGAGCTGCAAATGGCCTGCAAGCACGATGCAAAAAAAAAATGTAAATGTATTTATGACGGGCCTTAAAGTGAGCCTTCCCAGGAAGCACAAAAACAGCTTTTATATGAGGAAACCGCTACGTTGCCCTCCTGACCCGGGACCTGCGAGATGTCACGGCTTCAACGCGGGGGAAACACAGAGTGTGTCAGATGCTTTTTCAGTTCTCACGGCCATGACACAGAGTCTGTAAGGGCGTGGAAAGAGAACCTACTAACCCTCAACCCACAGAAGATTTTAACAGTGTAAATAGAAATTTCCCCAGGTTGCCACATTGTGTACTCTACAGCGAGCGAAGGACTTTATTCCACTATCACCGTCCTGCGAGCTTCTCCATACTTTGCATTGGAAATTAGCAGACAGGTTTAACAGTTGGATTAAATGCAATAAAAGGAGGACGTGCAAATAATGCACTTATGTGTGGGAGTGATGATTTAGTGCTGGTTTTAAACGTCAACTACACAACATCACCATGTATGACAAATACAGAAGTCACATTTCATCAACAGACATTCAGCAAGGAGCGAGTTTGCACCACAGTTACAATTACTCTACTCTCATCTGCATCGTGTTGCATTGACGTAAACATGAAGCTTATGTATCTCTGTCAAAACAACAGTTTTGTGGGAGTGAGCTGTGAACAGGTCAGAGGGCAGGAACTGGATCTGCAAGTACTTTAACAACACCTGTGGAAGTTCCTACACGACACAGGTTCCAGTCAATCCGCCCCGGTATGCCAACATTTCTGAGTAATCATGAGCTGTCCACAAGTATTATTAGCACAGCCGAATAGCCACCGGACAAGTTCCTTTACTGGCAATTGAGTCCAAGCGTTTGCATAAACAAGATCTAGCTCGACATGTGCAGAGTTCCTGTTGAGCAGTCTTTGACTCTGAATACGAAACAAGCTTTTTATACAGTCTGCAATCCAAATCTACTCATTTTATTTTGAATGATAATTGCGTCTCAATAAAATGCACACTTTTGCAAATGGTTAGCCTGTGCGAACCAAGCACACAATTAGCTTCTGTGTAAAAATAAATAAAATAAAAGGTGTTGCTAGGTGGATTGTTGACATGCCGAATTAACCACGAGACCCACATTATTAACCGACGGGTTAATTAGTGTTCAGAACAATGTGCACGTTTGCTGAGAAGCAAAGAAAACACGAAACTTCCTCAATTTTGAACGCAGTTCGCGAAGCGTCTCTCCACATCGACGAGAAACGATGCGAACCACGCAGCTTCCGTAGCTTTCTACCGATTTATTAGCAAACACTCACCACAGTCACGTAGACCAGCTGTCGGTCTGCCAGACAGACGGAACCGACCGTTAGAAGAAAGAGCACCGCAGCGGACACCATGTTTAAAGCGAGAGTGCTAAGCTCCAAAAAGCTGACAATCACAAACCACCTCCTTGACCCTCTGACTACTTCCTACCCGCGGCCCTAACCCAATAAGCTCGCTCGCAGTCACGTGACTATTATGACGCGCGAAATTCAGACGGAGGCCCCTTCACGTGCGACTCCGTTTTGTGTTCGTCTGAAACACTGTGGGCCTTTCTCAACACACACACACACACTACCACACGACTGAGTATGCTTAGATGTCAACCTTATTACATAGTATGTTAAATAAAATAAAGATTTCTGACTTAATTATGTCTTACAAACTGAAATTGTCTTGATTTTAAACTATTAGAGGTATCGACTGATTAAGTCCACATTCTGAGATGATCAGAATGGGCCTCCATATTAAACATTTGCACACAAAAAAAACTCGGATCCGAGTGGTTACTCGCTTTGAGGCATGCAGTTTTTGTGCTCTGCCACTAGAGGTCCGTGTTGTACTATCTACAAACAAGTACCCTCTTACACGTCAGACTTGTAGTTTTTGCAATGAGACTGCTGGAGCTGGAGCCTCAGCTACAACAGGTCCACAAATATGATCTGGAAGTGTTTATTATTAGAAGTGGAGAGTCAAGATTGGACAAAAAATAACGTCATAAATGTATTGACAACCATATCTAATAAATAAAATAGGTTATATGTGCCTCTGGGAACTGGAGACTAAACTATGAACTGGTTAATCATAAAAACACTTTACAACAGATTAATTGACAATTAAAGTAATCAATACGCGCAGCTTTAATTGCAATTGTGTGATTGCAAAAGTGATATATCTTCGGACATATGTGTCTTCTCTGTGTGTTTGAGTATGTGCATGCATTCAGGTATTTACCACTGAGATATATCTGTCTATGGGATACCGCAGGTCTCTGGGTCATATACACACTTGTTTTGAAGTGAGCAACAATCACATGGGTGTTAGAAGTTAAAGCTGCATGTGTGGAAGCTTTGATGCTTGAAAAGGCTTTCTGTGAAGGTGGGAAACCTTTGGTTCAGAGCACGACCCACTGGTGCGCTGATCTGTACGTCTTTACACAGTGAAAAGCAGCGTTGTTGTGTCAGGGTCTGGCAACAAGAAACCAAGTGGAAATCTGATCTTCGTCTACCTTTTTTTATCACTAATATTCAACTACACTGTATGGGAACTACTACTGCAGCTACTATTGTGCTACTCATTTTATTACCTCTATATCTACTACCATACACTACACACGGCTATTACTATTGTACTTATTAATGCTGCTACTTATCATACTATTACTATATCCCCAGAACCAATTCTACTACTATCATAACTGGTAAGAATAGTTCTAATAGCTTTTACAGGTTTTGAGACAAAGATTATTATCATTCTTGACTCCTCTGCTGAGGAAGACTGCTGGATGCAGTTGAAAGCTCCAGATAGAGTCTGTCCTCGGGCCTGTTCACACTGGGGTAGAACAACCTGGCGGGGGCCCGGTGGAGTTTAAAATTAACCACCGGTGGAAAGAATCCCAAAAATATCCCGCCGAGGTAGAAGCGCTCCTTCATTTGCAGATGTCAGACAGCAACAGCAATCTGCATTCGTAATAAAAGCTCCCTGGGCTCAGGCCCTGCAGAGGGACAGAAGACACCCAGACCGGTGTTGAATTAAAAACCCCTGTGGGAACGTGTCGGCACACCACATCCCATGCACCACCTGCAACACACGGAGACGCAAAACAACAATATCCAGCTCTCAGCGTCATGCCCTCGGTGTTGTTACCACGGTATTGTAGGTCCCTGCCGCTTAGGTCTCAACAATAATGTCTTTGTTCCCTTTGTTTTTTATTATTGCCTCAGGCTGTTTATATCTGCTATGTGTTACTAAATCCTGGCAGAGGTGTTTATGTTTTTCAGATTATAGGTGACGGCTAATGCTGAAAACACATGCCACGGCTCACTTGATCCCCCCCTGACAAATGAACACTGGTGCGAAAACAGAAAAATAGCCAAAGGCCAAATGTCACCGGGATCACACACACACACACACACACACACACACACACACACACATATACAGGCATCAACAATATCAATAAGGAGTACAATGGTGATTAGAGGAGGCGTGGATTACCCTTAATCTGGAGTATCTATGCGTTTGTTTAAAGGGGCAGACACCCACCCCATCATCCATAGCATCTCATTCACACTGACACCTCATTGGGTGTAATCTGCTTGTTTGGGAGATTATAAACAAAAGTGTGTGTTTGGGTTGGGGGGGTGGACATGACCAATGATCCCAAAGATCACAGGGAGAATTCCTGGCAGAATTGCCTTGATGATCTGATGAACAGATGTCTGCGAGGCCCTTCACAGCCCAATGCAGCCCC